CAAAAGTTCCTGTGCACTTAGCCGTAAGGTTTATTTATCCTTAGAAACAACAGTAGTTATTCAAATGATTCAGAGATTCAGTATTCAAATGATTCAGCGATTCAGTAATGATTCTGAGATGGAGTATTCAAATGATTCAGAGATTCAGTATTCAAATGATTCAGAGATTTATTATTCAAATGATTCTGAGAGTTATTCAAATGATTCAGAGATTCAGCATTCAAATGATTTAGAGATTCAGTAATCATTCTGAGATTCAGTATTCAAATAATTTAGAGATTCAGTAATGATTCTGAGATTTAGTATTCAAATGATTCAGAGATTCAGTATTCAAATGATTCAGAGATTTATTATTCAAATGATTCTGAGAGTTATTCAAATGATTCAGAGATTCAGCATTCAAATGATTTAGAGATTCAGGAATCATTCTGAGATTCAGTATTCAAATAATTTAGAGATTCAGTAATGATTCTGAGATTTAGTATTCAAATGATTCAGAGATTCAGTATTCAAATGATTCAGAGATTTATTATTCAAATGATTCTGAGAGTTATTCAAATGATTCAGAGATTCAGTATTCAAATGATTCAGAGATTTATTATTTAAATGATTCTGAGAGTTATTCAAATGATTCAGAGATTCAGCATTCAAATGATTTAGAGATTCAGTAATCATTCTGAGATTCAGTATTCAAATAATTCAGAGATTCAGTATTAAATGATTCTGAGATTCAGTAGTCAAATGATTCTGAGATATAATTTTCATAATTCTGATATTCGGTATTCCATTTTTGTGAAAATAAAATTCATCTTTAAACCAATATGAAACAATGACCATTGTGAACAGATAACTTATTGGGTCAGCTGCAGAATTGAGCCTTGAGTTGTGGTGAAGAAAGCTGAGGCTGGTTAGAATGCACCCATACATAAAAAGTCAATGTAACCATGTGGTCATTTCATTAAAGGGATCCAGTTAATGATTGATGTCTTTGCAATTCTTTGTAACTTTTTTTAATTCCTCTTAATATAGTAGAAGAAACATGAGTAACAATACGTTTTATGTATGGGAATTTTAGCGCTAGGCAACTATAAACAAGGCGTTCTGGGATAGGGAATACACCTGCTGCGCTGTTGAGCCCCTGGGTGGGTCCCCGTGGGGGAGGGGGATGGCTGCAATCTAGAGGGGGCATCATAGGCACTGTCTGTTACGCTACAGCTCCCCGGACTCCACCTATTACAACAGACGAACATACAAATAGTTACCATGACAACCATCACAGCGTAGCAACAGTTGGTATGGTAATACTTTATATATAACACATTTACGTTACATGGTGATCACAATACAATGTAGTAGTACAGACAATGTCTACATTACATGTGAAGATGTCAATATTCTCAAAAACTCAAAGTAAAAAATTGGTCCCTCGTGAAAAAAAAACAAATTTGTTTAAAATTAATGGAAAACATTGACAGTTGACCTTTCAGGCTGAATATTGTTTACATTTATTAATCAAAATTAATGTGTTTTGAATATTTACAGACAATTTGGGAATTCTACAGGGAAGTTGAATGAGATTTTGATAAAACGTTTATTCAAATTAGTTAACTAATGAAGCGGAGAAGTAATTTTTTAGATCTAGGCACAGAAAATTAATATTTATTCATTTATTGTATAATTTAAAAGTTAATTTAAATAATGTTTACATAATACATGTGTACATAATCATATGTATAAATTGTGTGAAAATAGTGAATATGCTAACTGTATTATTTGTGTGAATTGTGTAAAAATAGTGAATATACTGACTTTATTCTTTATGTGAATTGTGTGAAAATAGTGAATACTGACTGTATTATTTATGTAAATTGTGTGAAAATAGTGAATACATACACCAACTGTATTACCGTATTTAATATGTGAATTGAGCTAAAATTTATAATTACAATAACAACGTGATAGCAGATTCTTGGTACATTCACTCAAATGGTGTCACAACACACACTCAAATGGTGTCACAACACACACTCAAATGGTGTCACGCAACATAACTGGTGACAAGGACACATGGTGTTATATTTTCTGTGTTGATATCTCTCAATTGGATTGTCGGGTGACTGACTTGGTGAAAATTTCAATCAAAAGGGCGTGAAAGAAATTGTTATTCATAATTACAGATGAAAAAGATTCACTCGTTTATTCCAATCATATTAATCCACCCTTTTGGTCAATTTAGGATAGTTTGGTGCTATTAAAGTAGATGTAAAAGATAGGGACAATTTATATGAAACTATTTGAGAAGTTGTCCCAATTTTATAATAGAACTCACTCAAATCATTCCTCTTCATGTTTCATGCATAAAAATGCTTTTATCGTAAAAAATCGCAACAACCAATCAGATTGTGAGTTCTTAATCGGGGAAATGCTTACTGCTTATCGCAGGGGGTAACAAGGCACAGGACGTGAACGAGATCACACCATCAAATAGGCAGACACTATGAACCAGGAAAACTGTTCTCCTATTATGTTTACAAATTTCAAGAACAAGAAACAAGATTTTTCAAAAAACCTTCAAAATGGCCACCAGAAAACAAGATGGCCGCCCAAAAGTTAATCAGCTCTAGTACTTGATATCCTCTATCATTTGTGTAAATTTGAAGGAAATCCGATGAGCGGTTTTCCTGAAATGGCGATGACAAGATTTTTCGAAAAACCTTCAAAATGGCCACCGGAAAACAAGATGGCCGCCCAAAAGTTAATCAGCTTTAGTACTTGATATCCTCTATCATTTGTATAAATTTGAAGGAAATCCGATGAGCGGTTTTCCTGAAATGGCGATGACAAGATTTTTCGAAAAACCTTCAAAATGGCCACCGAAAAACAAGATGGCCGCCCAAAAGTTAATCAGCTCTAGTACTTGATATCCTCTATCATGTCTTTAAATTTGAAGGAAATCCGATGAGTGGTTTTCCTGAAATGGCGATGACAAGATTTTTCGAAAAATCTTCAAAATGGCTGCCAGAAAACAAGATGGCCGCCCAAAAGTTGATCAGCTCTAGTACTTGATATCCTCTATCATTTGTGTAAATTTGAAGGAAATCAAATGAGCGGTTTTCCTGAAATGGCGATGACAAGATTTTTCGAAAAACCTTCAAAATGGCTGCCAGAAAACAAGATGGCCACCCAAAAGTTAATCAGCTCTAGTACTTCATATGCTCTATCATCTCTGCGAATTTGGAGAAAATCTGATGAGCAGTTTTCCTTAAACGGCGATGACAAAAAGCGGGACGATCACGACCACGATCACGATCACGACCATGATCACGATCACAACCACGATCACGACCAGTATGACGACTATATCCCACCGATGGTGTGATAAAAAGAAAGAATATATTCTGGATTTTGAAGCCTTGTGATCGGAGGATGGTCAAAAATATGAGTTTGAATTATGTTTGAAAGTTTCAAAGTTTTCACAACCTTACAATATATTTTGCCTCAGTATTCTATGCCACATTTATTTTCTAAAAATATATAAATATTTTTTATTGAATATCCAATTCCATAATAGTAGCATATTGGTCACTACAGTATACGATATACAAAAACTGTATATTCTTTACTTCTCTTTTCTGGAATTTAAATGAAATTGCGAGTGAATCTTACGATCAGCAATGTATGAATAATTTCATTTCAAATAGGTATCTACTTCAAACCTAATAGGATATGAGATAGAAAAATTATGTTTTAATTGGATCGGCACTACGTCTTACCGAATCAACCTCTCTATATGAGTTGGAGGTGGTTTCGGAGGTTCCAGTCTCTGTTGAGGTGGCTTAATGCTTAATGAAATAAGATAAATGAAAAGATTTAACATCCTTGACTCATTAATTGTACCAGAAGGTGTGACATAAAGGTGTGACACAAAAGTGTAAATAAAGGTGTGACAATTTATAGAGCTTGTATGTCAAAAGTCCTAAAGATATTATTATATAGGGCATTGAGAAAAAATATATGTATCTTATAAATATATTTTAAAACACTTGAATTCATTTTTGATTGGTTTCACGTAATTTGTTACTACATTGTAGTTAAGAATTCAGATAAAAAATATTGTATTTATTTTTTTACAACAGAAAAATCTGCATATTATGAAGAATAATGTTAGAAAATATTCAATGGATGAAAAGTATATTATTAACAACAATTATGTTATTTTTTATTTTTCTATATAGAATTGAAATTACAAAATTGAGAAATATCATATCAAAATGCACATTATGAAGAAAAATGTTAGAAAATATTTTATATGCAAAATATCTTATAATAAAAATTCAAAAATACGAAGAACATGATAATGCCAAATATGTTAAAAGTGCCGTTTTAAATGAGTGCAGAAGCAATGGCACATGATGCAGACATTTTACAATAAAATTATACAATAAAATTTTACAATGCACAAAAAGTGCTTGGTACAATATAGCATGTACAGGAGGTAACCATATCCCAAGAGATGAAGGAAAAACATCTACAAAGCAGATTCAAAGCAACGATACACAAACATAATGCATAGATCATTAATTTAGAATCCTGCCCTATACCAAGATGAACCTTCAGATAAAAATCCCAATGTGAACATAAATGTGGAGTAGACAAAACACAGAAATAAAAAACAGGCTCAACAAATAAAAATATTGAATTTTACATAACAGAAAAAATGATCAAGCAACGAAAATTCATAGTGATGTTCTGAAACAATTCTTAAAAGTGTCAGAATCCACTTTGCAGAGTTTTTGACCATACAATCTCTGGGATAATGGTCTATAACAACGACCATACTTTATATATACCATGATACAAGTGCAAGTGTTATGGAATTACAATATTACATTAAAGTGAATATTATATAAATCAAAATATATAACACACATACCTGGTTTCATCTTTATATACTTTTTCTAAAACTGAAGCTGCATACTCGAGATTTTGTATTAAAGTTGCTTTACTGACTTGGTCGTTCTCTATATGCCGCACTAAATGTCGAAGCCTGAAAGTAAAAAAGTAAATCTAAATAACAAGCATGACTCGTTATACATTATCCTACATCAGGGGTCAATACCAACCGTTAATATATATAAACAGTATTCAAAAGGGGGAGGAGGGGGAGGCAGACAAGAGGATAGGAGAAAAAGGGGGATGAGGGGAGGAGGGGAGGAGAAATGCAGAAGGAAGCATAGAGACATAGAGGAGGACAATGATGATGAGGGAGAAGGTAGCAAAGTGAAGATGATGAGAATTATGGTAAGAGGAAAAAGAGGAATAATGAGGATGAGACCGACAAGATGTTCAATATATATGCATTTGTAATAAAATGTACAATTGTGTTCACCTAAACTGCAAAAAGGGAAGCTGTCAAATTCTTTCTTTCCATATGTATGCTTGCATTTATGAAAAAATATAATATAAAAGGAAGCTTTTGAATTTGAATACATCTGGCAATCTGAATAATTTGCTTTTACTTCTTCAAAAGAGAGCTTCATCTGTAATCTGAACACTTCTGGCAATCTGCCAGATTAAAATACCCCCCCCCCCCACTGAAGGAATATTTGAAGCTGTTTCATTTCCCGAAAATTTGATTTTACTTCTTCAAAAGAGAGCTTCACCTGCAATTGATGTACTGGGCACTCAGACCCTTGGGGCAATTACTCTTGCATCAAGTTATGACCCAACCCCCTCTGACCAATCCACTTAACCTCCTTGTTGAAGAGCTCAGTTTTTAATTGCAGGTTTAAAATGGACACAGTTGGTCTATAAAATTGATTATATGGTCGTACTTTGACAGTAAAATTCTGAACAACAATCGCATGTTATGTCCCCCCCCTGGTGTGCCTCTGCGTAAGAATAATTCAATAAGATTATCGTATTACCACCAAAAAGCACAGAGAGAGGAGTGTTTGCATGACAACATGAAAGTCTTAGAGAGCAGAGATTATTTTAGTATACATGCTTTAATTAAGGAGGTGGGTGTTATATTAGTACAATAGCATATATTAGCACATTTACAGTAAAACCTGTATATCTGAACACCTCTCTAATCTGAACACTTCTTAATGTGAGCACTTTTTGGTTACATTTTGTTAATCAGCCATAGATCCCCATGTTAATAACTCAAAATCTGAATACGTTTGACTGGTCCAAATGGTGTTTGGATTAGACAGGTTTTACTGTAATAACTATTTTTATATTATTATAATTATGTAATTGATTTGTACTATTAGCCCTTTTATCATAATGCATAATTATTAGACCAAAATTAGCCAATTATTACATGAGAATTGCTATTTCTTTTTACTTGGTATAAGGAATGAGCAGGTTGACTTATTTGGTAATGCCTTCATTTTTTATTAACCTCTTTGAGCCCAAGCTAAAAAATCGGTTGAAACCTGAGAATTTTTCATTTTTGCCACATTTTTGCCACATTTTTACTACATATCTATACAACCTAGATGCTCAACTTAGTAAAATCAGATGGCAGAGATCATTTTTACACATTTTAAAACAATTTTGGTGTAAATTGGATGAAAACTGTTTAAATGAGAGCAATTTTAGTGAAACATTTTGTGATGGATTTTCTCGTCACTCTTGGTTTCAAGGCCATATCTGAGGTGACGAGAAATCTCGTCACTCCAGGTCGTCAAGATGTTAAAAAGACTCCTTTATATTATCATTGCAATTACAGATAGTAAAGGCCTGAGATCTAGGGATGCTTTATGAAATGAAAGTTGCGAAGTATGCTGGGCTATTTTCATTTTGTAGTTGTTATAGTATATAAATCAGAAACTTAACTATTAACTATAATACATGGATAAGAAGCTCATAAACTATTAGTACTAACATTACAAATGTGAAAACTAAAAATATGACTTTTTGTAAATGTACCAGTATTTCTGAATTTCAGAATAAAAGGTAGCTGTTGCTTAATAGGATGAGAACATATGTTTATTATATGGTTAAATATGGTTATCTTATTCGAGCGGGGTATTTTATCTAAATATGGATATCTTAATTCTTTAAATAAGCATACTTATTCGAAGAGGGGCAATTATTTCAAAAAAGAATCACGAACATTTTTCAGAATTGCTGGTTGCTTTTTCGAACATACTGTAACACTAACATCTCTCAACGTGAACACTTTTTGGTCCCATTTTTAACCTGAAGACTCCTTTATTGAAAAACCTAAGGATGCGAACAGCTGCATTTGAATTAGAAAGAGCTTACTGTATATTCTAGGTTGGGTACCATGTATTAAACCAACAGCACATTTCATGTTCACTTTAGTTACAATTAACAGTATATTTTGTTTAAGCAGTGCTCCTATAAAAGCACCATGACATTGCCAGATATACTAGCAATTAAAATGCACTTTAACATTGCAGCAGCTATGAATAATCTACCTGGAACGCACATAGTGCACCAGATTATCAAAATCTTGGCGCTTGTAAAAATGCACCAGATTATCAAAATCTTGCTTGTAAAAATGCACCAGATTATCAAAATCTTGCTTGTAAAAATGCACCAGATTATCAAAATCTTGGTGCTTGTAAAATGCACCAGAATGTACCAGTAAAAAGCTACTAGATCAACTGCAAAGGAATTATTACAAAATAGGAATGAAAAGAGACACTGTCATCCTTTAAGAGAATCATTCGTAATGATGGAAATCCAGTTTTATTTCAGTATTTCATAGACCCAGTTTTATGATAAAAAAATTTAATATTGATTTAAATTAAATATTTTACCATTTTGAGTGATGAATTATGATTTTTTTCTCCGGAGTTTCCTTTTTTTGTTTTCTAATTTGTGTAGGCGATGAGTCCCCTTTACGACCTCTAGGTGGCGTATTTGGCGGCGAGTGTATTTGTCCTCCTAAAGGTGGCATGTTTGTTGGTGAGAGATATCTCCTGTCAATAGGGGGAGTGTTTACCGGGGACAACCGGCCCCCCAATGGAGGTAGATCTGGCATAAGCTGCATGCCTATGATGGTGGGTGGGCTTACACCCAGGGGGCTCGCTGGTGATATATTATTATCCATATTTGGGCTTGTCATCCCATCTGCTTTGCCTAGTACCATTATAGCACAATGCCACTCGGTATTATTAACATTGGCATCATTATAATTGGCATAACATACATTGGCATCATTATTGGCATCATATATCCATAAGCACCATATATTTTATATTCACTCAATAAACATCATAATAAATTAAAACATTTGTGATTATGATCTTTTTAATGCAACACACTAAACATATTTTCCATTGTTCTTTTATCGGTTAAAGCTGTTTCTAATATAGGTTAATTTGAAGTCGTATTATTATCCTAACAGTAATTCTAAAAAACATAATCCGGTTGGTCGTTGTTCTTTCCTCATTTACATCCAGTGTAACATTCCGATGGATCATTCAGCGATAATACTATGCAATCTCATAATCCGGTAAACAGTTTTTTAGTTCCCAACTTAACACAGTTAAATCCATGCCATTAATCGAATGCTAGGTATTATGCATTGAGCAGGCAGCCTCAGCTCTAGGCTTTGTTGCGATGTAGTTTATAAGTCCACTGTAGATGTATGTTGCAATCTGCTCCAGTGACGTTATTACCCCGTATTGAACTGTATCCACTGCACGTCAGGTCTCAAATATGCATAAATACCTTGTAAACTGAGTCAGGCATCATTGAATAGCCCCTTAATGAAATATAGATCGCAAAATGATTTTCATAGTCTATAACTTCTTAGCTATAGGATTGACGTTACTGGTGTGTGTATTAATGTAGACAATATCCCAATTGTTGCCTCCTTCTGAGTTCTCCTTCCTTTATAGCAAATCTGACTAGTGGAACTAATGCCATGCTGATTAACTTAAGATGTCTTCCTTATATATCGAACAATTTAGCGTAACATCTTCCAATTTGGAACACTCATTTTTCATACTACTCACGTTAGATTTACGACGTTTGGCAATTTTGAATTTGATTATGATTCGAGATAGAGATGTGAGTTGTTGCTTAGATTATGATCCAGATTCCGATATACAGCTGAGAGTCACGTTGTATGTTATCAACTACTTGCGGCTGTCATCCAATATGCCGTTACGTTTATTTCCTTTTTTTAATATCATTCAGAGAGTGACACTGGCAGAGCAATCAACTACAATGCATGTTAAACCTGGCTTATATGCGGTGATTTCACATCAGGTCGTATATACTTGTTCAGTGCTTGGAGGTTATGCATGCACTGTATGTTCATATTGATGTATTTTCTCTCATATTTATCATATTTATCTTTCATATTTCATATTTTATTATTCACTGAATATCTCTTTTTTCAATATAATATTCAATATGACTTGTTTACATGAAATTTGATATCTGAAATTTACATGATATTCAATGACTATCATTTGTATGATATTTAGTATTTGATACATATAATTTATATGATATTCAATATATATTGTTAATATGATATTTTATGTCTATTATTTAAATCTATCATCAATATCATGATATATGATATTCCATATACATCATTTACATCATATCATATCATTTATGATATTCAATATCTATTATCAATATGATATTATTTGTCTCTCATTTACAGTCAATATCAAGCATTCATATGATATCAACTTTATTCATTCATAAGATATTCAATATCTTATAAATACACATACACAATATATTTTCATGATATAGCATACATCTCTTAATTAATAACATGATACACCACCCTCTCATTGACATACTTTCCAATCGTTTAGCCACGCTTATCCAAATATGGCAATTATATATCGGAAGCCTTCGTTTAGAAACAGTTATAATTGCATCCTATATTCTTCGGCAATATCATCTTATCATTGACTCACATTATGCATACAGTAATACTAATCCATAGCTATTTTGTAGTTTTTAGCATTCAAAGCTGTTAACAGTTTAATAGCCACCCACGTCTGATGCTTTGCTATAAATGGATATTAATAAACATTAGCATAGTGCTATCTCTTTGTTATTATTATAGGGCTTCACATTCGGCTAATTGATTTCTAATCAATTTACACCTGAGTTGTGTTTGAGTTAATTGTTTGGTAGTTCATAATTACACTGTAATAGAGATATCATTTCACCCTGAATATCAGGACCTGCTGGTATACTAGGCTCTAAATAAATGAGATAAATAGGGGGAAAATGTGCAAAATTGAAATATCTTAATGACCATTGAGTATCTGGCATGGCCTTAAAACAAAAGTATAAAATTCAGTTGGTAGCTGAATTTTTATTGACTACATTCTAACAATTTGTTCAGTCAATTTGAACACTTTATGTTCTAATTTCCCATAGACCTGTATGTCAAACAAATTCAAAATGTAAAACCGCCATAAAATATCATCAAATATGACTAAATGAAAAACCTGATTTTTGATCTTGTTTCAAACTGAGTATATGTCACGTTAGGTTTTCTCGCGTCCTTCAAAGGACACATGGAACAATGAACCAATCGATGGAAAAATGAGGATTTAGTTTGCACAGTAATAATTAAGTAAGAATTTATGTTCCTAATGTGTACTTTGTTCTGTTTTTATTCATTTCGAGAATGGGTATCACAGTTAGCTTGTCTTCGCAAAATTATCTCCAAGCAATTTTGTGATTTTATTGCAATTTATAAACATTGTTTTCCACACATATGTTATTTATGTGCTACTTTTCCAAGATAAAATTTGCACTTCGACACCAGTGAAGTTCATAAAAATACACACCTAAATACAGTGTGTTAATATATATTCTGACGTATAATTGAAGAGAGCACTATAATAGTGTAGCACTAAAAATATTTTCTGTTAATTATCATCTCAGATCCTGAACCATTATTTTAATTTTGCTAATTTATAAATTTCTAAATTATCAATTTCTTTGTAATCAAATCTGATTTGAAACAATGATAAATCTGTTTTAAATTCAGCACCCTCTAGTGACTAAAACACATGACCTTGACATTAAAATACAAACATGGCTGACAAACCCCTCAATTTGTTGTATATTCTCATATTATTCATCTCATAATGCATTGTGTCACTCAAATGAGCATTTATGTGGAAACAATTTCATTTTAAGAAATGATTTAATTTCCTCAGATTCCACACTAGCATTAAGCACAACTCTGATGAAGAAAATAATACTAAAATCAGGTATTACGAAAATAAATTTGGAAGTTAAAACGACCCACGGTAAAATCCACATACTGACTACCACGTCATCAGTGCAGAACATCAAAGTCTTGAATACACATATGGGAGGGCATTTGTGAATGAAGTAGACTAAAGAGGAAAATCGCTGTCTACGGGTTGTGATTTATCGTATGGGTAATGGTGTAATTTGCTGGGGAAGGAAAGACAACAGTTGAAGCAGAAAACTAGCTATTAGATTTTATACCGAGCTGACACTCTCTGTTCTGAAGATGACCCGATCATGAATAAAATTTATTGTCATTGGATATACTATGTATTAAGCCGTCATTCATTCATTGTCTTATTTTATGTTTACAATTTTTGTGTAAAATATGGGTGGGGGGTTAAAAGATGCCCGATCATGAATAACATTTATTGTCATTGGATATACTATGTATTAAGCCTTCATTCATTATCTTATTTTTATGTTTATCAATTTTTTGTGTAAAATATGGATGGGGGGGGGGTTAGGAAGTCGGAGGGGGTTTCTTTATGACCTCCTAGGGTCTGCATACTGACTTAATGAAAATAAAAAGGCAATCTCATCCCAAAATGGCAATTTCTACTGGAGACATAGATACTCAAGTTCCATCTCATGTTATAAATATTGGAATCTGGCTTAAGCAATCCCAAAATTGCAATATATCCATGATAGAGACAGCCATACCATAGATAAACTAACTACCAAGCCATATATTATAAATATTGGCAACTCGGTAGTTCATCGGACTGCCAATTTCATTTTGGAATTGTACAAATTAGTGAACCAGAGAGTGAATTTGTCACTTTTATTCTATTATACAAATGAAAGGAGCTGTAGTCTTCATTTCCCAAATCACTCATCACTCAGAGTTTGTGATATTACTAGAAAGCCTTCTATTCTCCATATTCTCCCCAAGTCGGGATTGAACAATCAAGGTGAAATTCGCTAAAGATCTTTGTCAGATTTGTACGCAGTCAGGGTCATTTAAAGACTGTACAAATAATGAGCATCTAGGAACTGTGATTTTTAGATATATATTGACTAATTCCATAATTATAAGGAACCAATTAAATTGAGAAAGAAAATCAGATTTGAATTTTAATCTCCCTTAATACCAGACTTGTACTTTAATCCCCCAGAACATCAGATTTGTACTTCAATTCCACAGATCATTGCATTGTAATCCCCAGATCATCAGACTTGCATTTCAATCCCACAGAATATTATACTTGCATTTCAATCCCTGCATTTTAATCTCCCAGAACATCAGACTTGTACTTTAATCCAACAGACCATTGCATTTTAATCCCCCAGATCATCAGACTTGCATTTCAATCCCCAGATCATTAGACTAGCATTTGAATCCCCCAGATCATCAGACTTGCATTTCAATCCCCCAGACCACCAGACTTGCATTTTAATCCCCCAGAATATGAAACTCAATAACTAACATTTTCAAAGTGTAAACATTTGTGGAGCAACTTCACAAAACACATATTAATACTTGGATAAGTGAGATGTATTACCCTCCCCCCGCCCCCAGCCTCTTAATACATCATAATGTATCGATATGAAAGGCAAACGCACTAATCACTATTAAAATAAAAAAATATGTAAAACCCCAATTTGAACTATGAATTCTATAAATAAGAAAATATTCACATAAGAATTTGAAAAATATTATCTATTTCATTAAATATCGGATTGCTAACTGTGGATCTACCAGAAAGACAGACACACTAATCACCTGGATTTAGTGATAAACCTATTAAAATATGTAAAATCTTGCGTCCTATGGCACAAATAGCAAGGCTGCTCTGTATATTGGAATCCAAAACACTGTAACACGCTGTTTAAATAACTTATGA